GTAGACTGCTGACCTGCAGGATGCATGAGGGAAAGTTCTGCCCACCTGCCACTTTAGGGAAATAGCAACTGGAGGAGAAGCCAGGGAAGTTCATTTTTAGTGGGCTGGATTAGGGAAAAGAAAGTCAGTTCTTAATGGTTGTTCTCTTTGACAGGACATCCTTAACCATTTTGTACAGCACACATGGCACAGGGCTGGCCTTCAAGAGATGTTCAGGGACTGTTTGCTGCCTGAACGAATGAATGAATGAATGAGTGAGTGAATGGATGGTAAATGACAGCCACCTCAGAACGGTTCTCTCAGAGGCAGGGTCTGCGATTTATTTCTCTCAGTATTGTTCTGCCCAATGCAGGCCTCACACGCTGTCCTCCGTGAATGTTTATGGGATGAGTAAGTGGCCTCCTGGGAGCCCCTGCTCCTCCTTCCCCTCCTTACCTCCCTCCCTGTGATCCCAGCCCCTGCTGGAGTAGAATCAAAGTGGATTTGGGCACTGGGGAGAAGTAGGCCTTTGCTTCCGTTCCTTCCTGCCCAGCTGCCCAGGAGCTGGGGGCTGAGGGCCCCCACCACCACCATGATGGGGCCAGGGGCAGAAGCCACACGTGTGTGAGGCTGAGGGTGCAGTCTCTGGTCGGGGTGACACCTAAAAGCTGTGTGACCTTGTGCAGATGACTTCCCCTCTCTGTGACCATTTCTTAATCTGTGAAATGGGGCTAAAAACAGAACCCACCACAGAGGCTGCTAGGAAGCTGCGGTGAGGTGTAACGGACAGGATGCACGTGGGACCTGGCACAGAAGCAACATTCGATAAATGGGTAGCGCTATTATTAGTACTAATGTGTGTGTAGTTATTTGTCAGCTCCTCCCTCCCCCAGCAGCTGGGGGCTTCCCAAGGCCCCCTGCAGCCAGACAGGCAGGGAGAGATGACAAAAGGCAGGCAGGCCAAAGGCCCCAATTCCCCCGTTCTTTTAATAAAAATAAAGACAGCCTTTAGACATTCTTCTGCTCTGCATTGTTCTGCCAAGGCAAGCAGCACAGACTCAATTCCTCCTCGGACTTGGAAAGTTCCTTCCTTTCTTTCCCCTCCCCTGTCACATTTCCTTTATCTAAATCCTCAGCCATGAAAGGGCATATCGACAGCTGGGGGCGTTATCTGGTGGAGGGGACCTTTTCCTAGGGGTGCCTGGGAGATAAGACGTCTTATCAGCCCCCACGTCAGGAATGATGCCAAAGCATTCTAATCATTGAGGCTTGCGACAGTTTCTCCCTCCCTCCCCCCCACCCCCCCCTTTTTTTTTTATTAAAGTCACAAAAGACCTTGGGCTTATAAACAGCCTGATTTGCAGATAGGGTTTCAAAATGAGCAGTGTTCCCAGGATGGTCCCTGGCTGGGGGAGTCACGAGTCAGGGTGGGGCCACAGAGGAGCTGGCTTTCTGCGGATGGGATGATGCCGAGCAGAGTGGGGGCAGGGCAGGGTCATGAGAAGAACATAAATGTGTTAGCTGCCTGCCCCATTGCTGTCCCCAGCTTGCTGTGTGACCTTGTGCAGGATGCTTGGCTTCTCTGAGCCTCAGTCATTTCATCTGACAATAACTGATTCATTGATTCAGCCAGTCATTCAACACTTATTTATTAAATGATTACTCTTTGCCGGGCACTGGGAGAAGGAGACAAATAAGACATGGTCCTTGCCCCTGAGAAACTCACAGTCCAGTGGAGAGAGACAGACATGAATATTGGCAATTACAACTTGGTGTGATTAGGACTGTTGGGGGGGGGGTGTGTGCCCAGAAGAAGGACAATTGAGCCAGAGTTTGAGTTAAATGTATTGAGGTGGCAGTGCTGTGGGCAGAGGGACCAGCACAGGCAAAGTTTTGGGGACTCAAGAGCAGCCAGCTGGAGGGAGGGCTAGGAGAGCTGGCGAGGATAGGCAAAGAAGGCTAGGCTCTATCTTGAGGTCAGAGAGACATTTAAGGGCAAGGGGAGAGGGATCTTTGCCCTGTTGTAGATGGTCGGGATGATGCGGGGACTGGTGGTAACCCACTCATCATCATGCTCGGCTGGCTCCTGTTCCCTCCCATGCTGACCCCTCAACCTGCCCAACAGCGGGGTACAGGGTTCCTGGGAAAATGAGGAATGAATTGGGATTAGAGGCACAGAGAGGAAAAACCCCTCTCTCTTTTTTTTTTTTTTCAAGATTTTATTTATTCATGAGAGAGGCAGACACACAGGCAGAAGGAGAAGCAGGCTCCATACAGGGAACCCGATGTGGGACTCGATCCCTGGTCTCCAGGATCATGCCCTGGGCCGAAGGCAGGTGCTAAACCGCTGAGCCACCCAAGGATTCCCAACCCCTCCCTTTCAAGTGAAGATGGTCTCTCCAGCTTTGGGGACCTGCCTGCCGGTCCTTCAGAATCAAGGGATGAAATGAGCCAGGCAGTTGCACTGAGCTGAGACCTTAACATGGATCTTGTCCCCTCTAGCGGATCCTCTGTCACTCCCTGAACTGTTAGCCTCTCAGCTCCCAGAACTGCTTAGGCATCCACCATCCGAGCACTCTGAAAACCAGAGCCCCACAGAAAAGGAGCGATGGAGTCCAGAGACGCCCTAGATGAGGCAGCCTGTCCCATTCAGCTGCAAAGCATGCTGGAATGTGTGGCCTGTGGGGAGTTGTGGAGGACGACCTGGACAGGGACTGGGCTTCTTGGGCCCCTGGCACCTGTGAAAGGCAAGAGGTGGAAAGGACCCTCAGGGGCAGCAGGGGGATGGGGGGATGATGGGCATGGTCAGGACGCTGGTGGATAATGACCTGGGAGGGATCAGGAAGCGTGTCTTACAAGAGAGGGGCAGTAGCTCCCCTGGGGACACGCAGTGGTTCCTAGGGTAGGAATATGTGGGTTCCAGGTTTCCAGACCGGCCCGGTGGGCTACCTGCTGGTGAGGGGGCAGGCTCATCTAGCCACTGCTTCCTGGGTGGCCTTGGGCTGAGTTCTGCCTCTCTCTGACTTGGGTTTCCTCTTCGGCGGATGGCAAGGACTTTCACCTGCAGCTGGCTGGCCTTCTCTGGCTCTCCTCTGTCCCCTGCACCCTCTGTCAGAGCAGTGAGAAGGGGACTCTGGGCTGGCAGCCTCTTCCCTTCCAAGTGCGCACATGGTTCTGCATGACAGTGGACAGCCTGCGTGTACATGAGAGGGCACCAAGGGGTGTGGAGGGCCCGGCACTGTGGGTGGGGGGTTGGTGGTGTGGGGGGGGGGTCAGCACTGTGCCCATCTTGGGAGACTTGTGTGTGTGTGTACAGGCGTCATGCCCGTGTGTCTCCAGGTGTCCAAGTGGGGCAGGGTGTGTGTGCGGGTGTGTCCTAAAGGGCCCAGGTCCCCTGTCCCCAATGAGCAGTGCCTCCTTCCCGCTATCGAGGGCTTTCATCCCTGCAATAAACCCCACTTCATTCCCTTTTTAAACTGTATAATTTCTGCCTGATTGTAATGGCATATTTTAAAATTACCAGAAATCAAAGCCGGGAAGTGGATACTGCAGCTCTGTGTCGTGGCTGCGTTAAGACTGGCGATTGGCGGGAGGGGTGGGGGTGGGGGGGATGAGAACCACCTCCCCTCCCCCATCCACCCCCTACTTTCTTTTTTTTTTTTTCTCCCTGAGACAGTAATAGGAGAAAATTGGTTTTGAAACTGAATAAAAGTCCCTTTCAGAGTAAATCATTTCTTTCAGGGTACCTTTGCTGAAAGTAAAATAGAGCATAATGAAAGGTGGTTACGTGATTGTCTTTCATTTACCGAGAGGCCAGGACAGACAGGAGGCTGCAACCGTCTCGGGGAAATTCAAGATTGGAATAATTGCGCCGTAACAAGGAGCTTGTTGTGAAATTAGTATCTTAAGAAAGTAGTGAAAAAAGGCTTTTCCTCATGAATACTTCATTATTAGAAGAAAGCAGCAGAATTTAAGGGCTCCAGACACCTGTTTAGTATTAAATAGCTCCCCTTTCTTCCCCCTTAAACACACCCCCACCCCTCGTCTTTCTTCTTTTTTTTAAGAACTGGCAGGAGGACTGAGTTGGCCCAGCTTGGCAGCTCAGGTCCTGGGGAGGGGAGCGAAAGGGTGCGATAGAGTGGGGTGGGGTGGGGTCAGGGGGTCAGGTCAGAATGCTCTGGGGCCAGGGCCTGGCTGGGTGGATGTCAGGGGTGACAGGCAGCTGGCTCCAGCTCCTTACTGGGAAGAGAGGAAGGGAGGGCCCCGCAGAGAAAGTCCTGCTCTCTCTTCATGGCCTCCAGGGCAGGCCCTGCCTGGCCTGGGCTCACCCTGCTCCTCAGGTGCTCTGTGTTCTGAGAGCCCCAGGGCCCTCAGGACCTGGGCTCAGGCTCAGCACCTGTCAGGGTTGGAGGCCTCTCGTTCTCACAGGAACACCGTCTTGGATGTTTCCCTATAGGGCATGCTGTGAGAATGCCCCAGAACAACACTGGCACACCCATGTATCCCCTGGCAGTTCCTGGGTGCCCCTCCACCTCTCACCACCCCGTGTAGCTTCCAAAGGTGACTTTGTGGGGTCTCTGCCTTCTAGGAGCTCAAAGCTGAAGAGCAGAGAGAAACCCAGTCACAGGTGGTGACAGGAGAGCCATAGGCTGCCACTGGCTGGAAGGGCAACCTGCTGAGGGGGTGAGGTTCTAACTAGGCCTGGGGGCATCTGGGAAGCACCCTGGAGGAGGTGACCCACACAACGGGCAGGGCCAGGATATGTGTGACCGATCAGTTCTGGCCCCATCACGGTGGAAATCCACCACTCAGGAGATCTGGATTCTTTGCCTTTCCTTCCTTTGATGCCTCCAGCTGTGCCCTCATCTGTTGGGTGAGAAAGGAGGAGTGTCTGCTCTGAAAGTCTTCAATGTTCTGCTGGGTAGCGGGGAGGCTGCTGGAAGCATCTCCCAGCGGGGGGGGCAGTGGGAGGCGGGCATGGAGCGGCATGAGTGACAAGCACTTCATCTCCCTCCTCACAGAGCCCCTGCTGCACAGTGTGCCCCACCACGGGCTCCCAGCTCAGCCATGCTGGCCTGTCTCCAGAGGACCCAGAACCCACCGGTCCAACACCTGGCCTGCCCGAGCAAGAGCCTGGAGCTGCGCAAGTGTGAGTGCATGCCCTCTCCCTGTCTGTGCCTCCCCAGCCCCCGCCCCTGTTGGCCTTCCTCTGCCCACTGAGTCCACAGGGGCTTGCTCTCTGTTCTTTGCTCTCTGTCCACAGGAGCTTTTCCCACTTCAGGCCTCTGTGGGGCAGATCCCAGCAGGTAATGCCATCTGAACCCCAGCTCGTCCGCCCACCTCAGCTCTGCCCAGAGCTGTGTTCTAGGCCTTTGCCTGTCCTGCACCACTACTCCACAACAGCACCCACTGGGTGTGACCCCCCAACCCCAGCCCCCTGTCTGGGACCCCACAATGTACCAGGTCTGTCTCACCCACCATGATTTTCTTGCATTGTTAGCCGAGAGGACGACAATGTGGGAGCAAATAGTCCTCAGTGGGATCCCAGCTTGGGGCCCAGTTTGCTGTATGATCTTGGGCTTGTCCTTCCCTTCTCTGGGCCTTGCTCTTTCAGTGTGTCTAATTAGGGAGCTGGACTTGGTAATCTCCAAGGGTTTTTCTTTCTTGACCATCTAGGACACCATCTAATCCGATTATTTTTAGACACCATAGGGTTTTTAAAAAATTGGAAGTATTTGGAAACATTTGAAAACAGTGAAATTTGCATCATAATCTGGATTTCTGATGTCTCTTGGGAAAAAAAAAATCAGGGTGCCTGGGTGGCTTAGTTGGTTAAGCATCCAACTCTAGATTTCAGCTCAGGTCATGATCTTAGCATTGTGAGATGGAGCCCTGTGTCCAGCTCCACACTGAGCATGGAGTCTGCATAAGATTCTCTCGCTCAAAAAAAAAAAAAAAAGATTCTCTCTCTCTCCTCCTCTTCCCTCAGCTGCCTATTGGCTCTCTCCTGGAGCACAGGATTTGTTGCCATTCATCATTGGACTTGGACTGTTGATCGCTCTTTTTCTTTTCTTTTTTTTTTAAGATTTATTTATTCATTCATGATAGAGAGAGAGAGAGAGAGAGGCAGAGACACAAGCAGAGGGAGAAGCAGGCTCCATGCAGGGAGCCCTATTCGGGACTCGATCCCGGGACTCCAGGATCACGCCCTGGGCCAAAGGCAGGCGCCAAACCGCTGAGCCACCCAGGGATCCCATCTTTTTCCTTTCTTAATACATGTTTATCTTTAGACAAACATTAGGACAAACTTTAGGACATTCATGTGGTCCACTGTACAAAAGGAATGGACGGCTATACAAAGGTCTCCACCTCACTCCTGTTGCACAGCTGCCCACTCCCCTTCTCAGAGGCAGCCAGTGTTGTCCTGTGTGTCCTTCCAGATGGTTCTCTGCATGACCCAGCACACCTGGGACATCCCTTTTTAAATTAGCCATTCGTCCCATAGGTCAGCCTCTAAAGAGCTTCTTCCTTCTTTTGCCACTTAGTTTTCCACAGCAAGAGTGTTATTTGACCTGTTGCCTTTATAAGTAGTGTGATGATACACCACCATGTACATGTCACAAAGGTGTGAATAAAACTACAGGATAAATTTCTAGAAGCAGAAATACTGGGTCAAAGGTCTGTACCTTTGTAATTTTGATAGATGTGGTCTGAGTGACATCTTCAGATGACTCTGAGCCAGCCTGTTTGCCCACATGCTCACCATCACAGCATGGTAGCAGACTTCTAGGCTTGGTCACCTTGTCAGTGAAAGCAGGATCACAGTGTAGTTTTAAATTAAGTTTAACATGAATGAGGATGAATAGCTTTTCATCTTGGAGTCTTTTATCTTTGAACTTATTCATCTCCTTGGTCCATTTTTTTCAATTGGGTGGTTTTTATCCTTATTGAATTACAGGAGCTGTTTGTATATGATGGAATTAGACCTCTGTCTGTCATCTGAATTGCATATGGTTTCCCCAGTTTATCATTTGTCTTTGTGCCATGGAGAAATTTTCTTTGTGAAGTGAAATCTGTATTTCCTAAAAGGAAATTTTGTGTCATACTTAGAAAGTCCTTCCTCATGCTGAGATTATGTAAGTTCCCCAGGGTTTCTTCTAGTTTTTTTTTTTTTTATGGCTTAATTTTTATTTTTTTTTTAAGATTTTTATTTATTCATTCATGAGAGAAACACAGAGAGAGACAGGCAGAGACACAGGCAGAGGGAGCTGCGGGCTCTGTGCAAGGAGCCCGACACGGGACTCAATCCCAGGTCTCCAGGATCAGGCCCTGGGCTGAAGGCGGCGCTAAACCACTGACCCACCAGGGCTGCCCTATGGCTTAATTTTAAAAATACATGGTATAAAGTGTGAAGTATGGATCCAAGCATATTTAAGTCATTAGGGCAATGCTGTTTTAATTGTTAGTTATAATACATTAAATATATTAACTATATTGAAATAGAATTCACATACCATAAAATCCACCCATGTGAAGTGTACAATTAATGGTTTTTATTTTTATTTTTATTTTTTTATTTTTTATGATAGTCACAGAGAGAGAGAGAGAGAGGCAGAGACACAGGCAGAGGGAGAAGCAGGCTCCATGCACCGGGAGCCCGATATGGGATTCGATCCCGGGTCTCCAGGATCGCGCCCTGGGCCAAAGGCAGGCGCCAAACCGCTGCGCCACCCAGGGATCCCCAATTAATGGTTTTTAGTATATTTACAGAATTTTGCAACCATCACCACAGTCAATTTTAGAACTTTTTTTTATCACCTCAGGAAGAAACCCCTTACTGATCAGCAGTCAATCCCTGACCCCCTACTCTCCCTTCTTTATAGATTCCTATTTTGGACTTTAAAGGAAAGAAACCCGACAGTATGTGGCCTTTTGCGACTGGCTTTAAAAAAAAAAAAAGATTTTATTTATTTATTTGACAGAGCACACACACACTAGAGCACAAGTAGGGGGAGGTGCAGAGGGGGAAGGAGAAGCAGGCTCCCTGCTGAGCAGGAGCCCAAAGCAATGGGGGGCTCTAGCCCAGGACCCTGGGATCACGACCTAAACTGAAAGTAGCCTCTTAACCAACTGAGCCACCCAGGCACCCCTTGTGACTGACTTCTTTGACTTACCGCGTTTTCAAGGTTTATTTGTATCGTAGCACACACATAACACCTTTTAATATTTGGTGGTGCTTTCTTGTTCCTGGTTGTGTCCCCACCCTTCCCCTACAACTTCCCTGGCTATTAAATTTTCTGTCTCAACTATAGAATCAACTCATCTGAATAAGAGCAAAAATCCTGTTCTTTTTCCTGGGGTTGCATGAAATTTGTAATTCAGGAAGAAATTTTTTTATGTTGATGGCCTCCAGGACCATGAGAAACCCTTGGCTTGTTCAGATATTTTTGTGTCCCTGGGAATGTTTTAATATTCACTTCATCTAGATCTTGCACATTTTAAGTTTAATTCTAGATAGTTACCCTTTTTTTGGCTCGTCTTTTCTTTCTGAAATGGCGGTTATTTCTATAAAAGCTATTAACTCCTGCCCCCTCTCTGAATTCTTTTATTGTTTGTAATGGTTTTTCCATTTGGTCTCTTAGATTTTCCAGTTACTCTATCACATGCAAATCGTAATCTTACCTCCTACTTTGGAAGTTTTATACCTTAATTTCTTTGTCTTATTTCATAGTATAATGGACACTCTTGCTTCATTCCTGACTTTAATGAGAAGCTTTTGGAATGTCCCCATCATGCAAAATGCTGGTTTCAGGGGCAGATGTTTTATCAGGTTAAATAAGTGTCCATGTATTCCTGTTTTATTAAGAATTTTAAAAAAAGAAGTTGAGGTTTACCAAATGCCTTTTCAGTGTATATGAAGACGATCTTATTTTTTTCCTTTGATCTTTTAATAGGAATGTTGATAGAGGTCCCTTAACATTGAACTATCTTTGCATTCTTTGTTGAGTCTCACTTGGTCATGGTGCATATTTCAATATATTGCTGGATTGAGGCTCCTGGGTGCCTCAGTCGGTTAAGCGTGTGTGCCTTTGGCTCAGGTGATGATCCTAGGGCCCTGGGATCAAGTCCTGCATCAGGCTCACCGCTCAGCAGGGAGTCTGCTTCTCCCTCTCTGCCTTTCCCCCTCCACTTGTGCTCTCGCTCACTTTCTCTCTCATATATAAAAATTTTATTTGTATATGTGTATATATGTACATACATATATATGTACATATATATACATATATTTTAAATTCTATATACTGCTGGATTGGCTTGGTTACTTAAGAGTTTTGCTGCAATTTCATCTGTGAGATTAGTTTTCAGTCTTTTAGAACAATTTTTGTTGGGTTTCATGATCAGTGTTATGCTTGCCTCATAAAGAAAATGGAGGCTTCCCTCCTTTCTCTATACTCTGTGACAGTTTAAGTAGAAATGGATTATCTGATCCTCCATGAAACAGTCTGGGCCAGTGCCTTTCTTTAGGGTGGGGGAGTACTTCTTTGATTCTTCTGTAATAATTGATCTGTAATAATTGTTCTATTGCCCCTTGAATGAGTTTGGTAAATTATGTCTAGAAAAGTATTTATTTTATCCAGTTGTAAAATTTACTTGCATGAGGTTGAACAAATTAATTTACAGTTCTTTTAAAGAAGAATTTCATCTTTATATTTCTAGTATATTTTGTGCTTCTCTCCCCCACCCCACCCTGTTTTTCTTGATTGGGTTAGTTAAGAGGTTACCAACCTCCCATTCCCCCAAGATACATCTTTGGGATTTATTTATTAGTAATTACCCTTTTCTAGCTTCTAATTCATTAATTTATGCTTTTATTTTTATTTTTTTTAAAGGTGACCCTCTTTTTTTTTTTAAGATTTTATTTATTTATTCATGAGAGACACACAGAGAGAGAGAGAGAGGCAGAGACACAGGCAGAGGGAGAAGCAGGCTCCATGCAGGGAGCCTGATGTGGGACTGGATCCTGGGTCTCCAGGATTACACCCTGGGCTGAAGATGGTGCTAAACTGCGGAGCCACCGGGGCTGCCCGATTTATGCTTTTATTTTTATTAAAATATTCTTTGTATTCATTTCTTTAAAAATCTGAGTTA